GCAGTGTCACTGGCCCTCATATGTGGGATCCGAACCAGGGCCCTCTGGCGTCCCAAGCCAGTTCTTAACCATCGCGCCACTCGGCCAGCCCCAATAAAGTGTTTTTAAATTAAGGTATATACATTGTTTTTTTTAAGACATAATGCTATTGCACGCTTAATAGACCACAGTCTAGTGTAAGCATAACTTTTATATGCACTGGGAACCAAAAATCTGTGTGACTTGCTTTATTCTGATTCTGGCTTTATTACGATGGTCTGGAACCGAACTGGCAATATTTCCGAGGTATGCCTGTACAAATTGACAACATTCTTCCTGAGAGCGAGTACTCTGGGGAAATTAGAGGGCACAGAAGGGCAGGTTGGGCCATCCAGGTACAACTGAGTAGTAAACAGGGGACAGAAGGAGACTTCTTTGTATTTTGATGGGAAAAGAGACCGATCTCTGGACTTCAAAGGGACCAGTGAATAGAAAGTGCTGTTAAAGGTCTTCAGGTCATAGTCACTTTGAGGCTTCTGAGCTCTAAGTACATGGAACAGCTCACCCCCAGCTCATGGGCGGTGTCACATCCAAGGGGTTTGACGGATTACGGTTTGCAGTTATGCCAGCCACAAGCACAGGGGGACACCGACAGAACCAACGTGTCCAGTTAAGAAAGACAAGGTCATGGATAACTTAAAAACGGGGGAGGGAAAAGGGTAAGTCAGAACTCAGTATCTGCTTTGTTATCAAAATGGCTGAGAAAGAGCAAACTCAGCTGGAAAACCAGACTTGAAATGGTTAAACTATGAATCGTTCTTGCTGTTCTCAAAAGACCCCTTTTTAGTGTGCCAATTGGAGTATTCTGTTTTGCTCAATACACATTTTCAGCTATGCTCTGCTTAAAATAACAATTTAAAAAATCATTTTCATAAGACTAGCATGCTGTTTTCTGTGTGAGAGGAAATTGGGTACGGGTTTGGCTCATGTCACAAATGAAAGAGCTTTAGAAATCACAGCTTAGCCTTAATGGGTTGTAATCGGAAAACCACCACCCCCACACAGTTCTACTTGATGGGCTGCAACTGCCTCTGCTCATAGAAAAGATGTAAAACAAATTACTCTCTTCATCAAGATAAGGTGAACTAGAACAGGAAGACTTGAATGATTACGGGGGCTGTGGTGGAACCCACCTTCCTTGTGCAGTAAACATAAAGCACAGGGG